GTTTACACTGGCGATTTTAGCGGCGATCTTACAAGAAAATTCTTTACCAATATTAATAAAGAAAAAAAAAAAAAAAAAAAAAAAAAAAAAAAAAAAATCGCAAGAATCGCAAAATTTTTTTTCGTATAGATTTGATTTACGTACTTCCTGCATAACAACAGACCCACCTTTTCCTTGGCAACTGCTCGTGTTTTACTGTCCATCCAATCAACTTGATCAAAGTCTTGTATAAAAACTTCTTTAATGTTCTCTACCATCTCTGTAACCTTGAAGAAGGAAACAAGAGAATGGAGCCTCAACAACAGATCTCTTTACCTCTTTGCGCATGCGGGTATCTCCCAATAGAACATGCGCAATAGAAATATTAAATAATTATCACCTTGGAAGTTACATTTCCCTATTTCAAACCACGTGTCATTCCCTAGAGTATCATTTATTTGTTTAACGATTGAGAATGAGAAGGCACATGAATATAGATACGACTCAAACAATCTTATTCACAAGAGATTGACACGTGGTCTGAAATAAAAACATTCGATGCTAGCCCTGAGCAACAGAGATCTCGAAAATAGAGTATGGCTGACCCCTTGGAACACTTCGGAATGCAGCTCAATTTGGAGGGCAAAACAATAGGTTTCCAATTCTCAGGAGATTGGAATTCTTTTGGTTTGTCCTCATAATTGAGCTCCTATGACGTCACCTGCAAGGGGTCTATTACAGGTTACCTAGGTTACGTGTATGTGCGCGAACAAAAGGTTGCCTAAGTTACTACCTCAGCCTTGCTGCCATTTCTAAAGACTTCCTCGACGAACATGCGTCCTATAGCCATCCCAAAGTACGACTTGACTTCCATCAAGCATGTTTCCCATCGAGGTACCTCTGGCACTGTTCCCCGGAAGACCTTGTAAAAGGTGGGTAACGATTGACGGAAAGGCTTGGATAATATACTGGAGTAATGGTTAATCAATCGCCACATCATGTAGTTAGCTAGGTCGCTGTAGTAACAAGAGAGAATGGTTTTACTAGACCTCCTGTCATTCCCTAGAGTATCATTTCTTTGTTTAAGGTTTGCGCTCGGTTGCACATGAGAAGACACATGAATATGGATACAACTCAAAAAAAGAATATTATTCTCAAGGGAATGACACGTGGTCTGAAATGGGACAACATTACGCTCGAGCGCTCCAGAGCCGAGGAGGTCTATTATAAAAGAAAATAAACTGAAAGAACAAGGCTAAAAAATGGATTACACTGTGCTGAAAGTTAGGTTTGCCTTTTGGCCATAGACGTAAATGTTTTGCCATTTGTTTTCCCATCACGAGTGTGAATGATTTCCTTGAGATGGAGAAGGAGAGAACACATTTCCGTCCACATGTCATTACCTTGAGTATGATTTACTTGTTTATCCATAAACTTGAAAATATGCATTACATCACTGTGCAAAACTATGTATAACTTAATCAAAGAAACATATTCAAGGGAATGACAAGTGGTCTTTCTGTCTGTCGTCTGTCTGTCTGTCGGTCGGTCTGTCTTGTCTGTCTGTCTTGTCTGTCTTGTCTGTCTGTCTGTCTTGCCTGTCTGTCCGTCTGTCTGTCTTGCCTGTCTGTATGTCTGTTTTGTCTGTCTGTCTTGCCTGTCTGTCCGTCTGTCTGTCTTGCCTGTCTGTCTGTCTGTCTTGTCTGTCTGTCTTGCCTGTCTGTCCGTCTGTCTGTCTTGCCTGTCTGTCCGTCTGTCTTGTCTGTCTGTCTGTCTGTCTGTCTGTCTGCCTGTCTGTCTTTCTTTTCTTTTTACCTCTTTGATGCATTATAAAGATATCGATTGAGTGATTTGAAAAAAGTACGACTTTGAAGAGCGATTTGGGTGCTTTCTGTAGGTTTAAAGTCTGTGTCCTCGAAAAGCTTCGTAAAGAATTCCAACCAGTTAATCTACAACGAAAAACGAGACATTTTCAAAGTGAGAACAAATTATTCAGCTTTTTTCTTAACGTCCCCTTGTTCTCTCCTTCACAGGACCTCACAGGACCTCACAGGACCTCACAGGACCTCACAGGACCTCACAGGACTTCTAGGACCTCACAGAACCTCACAGGACATCAAAGGACCTCACAGGACCTCACAGGACTTCACAGGCAGGACCTTGCTTCGTCATTTGCTTCGTTCCTTTATTTGTTCTTTCCTCAGTACCTTCAGGCCGTTTTTAAAATATTTTTATCTATTTCCTAGATTTAGTTTTGCCACAGGTTTGAAGTATATTTTGTATGAATAAAAAAAAGATTAAAATATACGCAATTTATTTCAAGGTTCAGCAAAGGTTTTCAATGACGTGGACATGAAAAGGTTTTGCTTAATATAGGTTTTGACCCGTCTTCCTCTCCCCTCCCCTCTCAAAAATTCCTGAATCCGTCCTAGAGCTTGCCTTTAATTACTTATTATTTTCCAAACTGATCTATCTCTTAAAGACTCCGGTTATCATTTTTTATGATGAATAATTTTAGGACCATACTTCCAGACATCGAGTGCTGAACCGTCGTATGGCAGCTCGAAGAATTTACGGCTACGCCGGAGATTTCGACCCGGCCACCGCTATCCCTGGATTTACAGACTGATCAGGAAGCTCGGCCGAAGCCTAAGGGAGAGGTTAGTCGGCCCCTAGACCGTAGATGATTAACTCCTTGCAATGACCAGCAGACCCAATATATTGCATGAGTCGCTGAAGAGGTAACTCCAATCGTCCCTCCTTTCCATGTGGGATGCATTTTGATAAACACGCCGTGTCGTACATGTATGCGCAAACTCAGTCGGGGTAAATCAAAATCAAAATTAAGGTCTTATTTCCTTATCCTTTTATTCACTTTTGTTTGGAGGCGTCTTTCAAAACACATTAAATGGAATTCTTTAAGGACAATGGAATATTAGCATCGATAGCTTAGATATTTTGCAAGTAAAACTCACCGACCATTTACATTCGCCACATGAACCCTAACATAACCCACATAACCCTAACCCCACAAACGTTCATCGCAAGTCAACAGATAAAATACTAAAAAAATCTGATCGATAATCCAACCTTTGTTTTCTCTTCATCTTTATCCATTTCTTTTATGGTAAGCACCTCTTCTTTAAGAGCGTCAGGCACATTCCGTGACAGCTATAAACACATTAAAATCACTGTTATTCCAACCTGAAGACTTTAAAACTATGTAATAATAATAATGTATGGATAAGTAAATATTTCTATTCTCTACTTTCACATCCCCATAATACTTTGCGTCTTTGGGGGGTAACCAGAGGGTAAAAACCCACTTATTTTGCTGAAGGCTAATCAGACAATGTTGATAATACCTTGTTTGGTATCCAAAAATAAAAAGAAGTAATAAACAGAAAAAGATAGAAGCTTGAAGACGTTCAAGGTAAATTTTAAAATTTTTTTCGTAAGTAAATACATTTTCTGTAAGACCAAAACTCTTCATGATCTGTGCACGCAAAAATAACTTGGAATAAACTGATAATCAGTATTGTACAGATAAAAGCAGGTATAGTATAAATTCAATTAAGAAACCTTTCAATTTGGGACAGTTTTTTGATTGGTTGCCCCCCAAAGACGCAAGGCATTATGGGGATGTAAAAGTAGAGAATTGAAAAATTGTGATTTAGCTGATGAACTTTTTTTCGAATTATGCGCGCGCAGCGACTTGCAGTTGGTTCAGCCAATCAGAATTGACGTAAGACCTTACTGTAATGAAAATGACTGATACTAACCTCAGCTATTTTTGTTTCCACTGAAAACGCGCTCTCCATCATTTCTTGTGACTGATTTTGGTTCAACCCAAGAAGTTTAAATAGCCGCATCATATGAGCCTTGTATGCGTTTTTAATCTAAAAAACACGTACATAAAAAAATAGTGGTTTCAAATTTTGATTAAATCTGTGAGTTAGCCGTGCACTGACTTAGATCAGCCCAAAGGTTGTTTCAGGGTTCGATCTGTGAGTTAGCCGTGCCCTGACTTAGATAAGCCCAGAGGTTGTTTCAGGGTTCTACCTGTAAGTTAGCCATGCCCTGACTTAGATCAGCCCAGAGGTTGTTTCAGGATTCGATCTGTGAGTTAGCCATGTCCTGACGTAGATCAGCCCAGAGGTTGTTTCAGGGTTCAATCTGTGAGTTAGCCATACACTGACTTAGGTCAGCCCAGAGGTTGTTTTAAGGGTTCGATAAGATCTGGGGGTTCGATAAGATCTTCAGGCGTTTCATAATTTTCAATCGTAGAAGTCAAAACGAATATATACAATGTTTACAAAATAAATGCACAAAGTTGGAAAACTGGATTATTAAAAAACTGTAAAACATACTTCCACGTTTCTTGTGTGGTTAGAGTTGTAGCGCGACGAAGCTAGGCTCATTCCTCCAGACTGCATCTATACAAAATTAAAAAAGTGATTGGACACTTGGTTACATTATAGGTGGGTAGGTGAGTAGGTGGGTATAGGTGAGTAGGTGGGTATAGGTGGGTAGGTGGGCATAGGTTGGTAGGTGGGCAGGTGGGCATAGGTGGGTGGGTGGGTAGGTGGGTAGGTAGGTAGATGGGTAGATGGGTAGGTGGGTAGGTGAGTAGGTGGGTAGCTGTGGGAAGTGTGGGTAGACGGGTAGGTGCGTAGGTAGGTAGGTAGGTAGGTAGGTAGGTAGGTAGGTAGGTAGGTAGGTAGGTAGGTAGTAGGTAGGTAGGTAGGTAGGTAGGTAGGTAGGTAGGTGGGTAGGTGGGTAGGTATGTAGGTGAATAGGTCGGTAGGTCGGTAGGTGGGTGGGTGTGGGTAGTGTGGGTAGGTGAGTAGGTGGGCAGCAAACTTACGAAAATTCCATTAACAGAAGAATTCGCTTCCAACGGCTGCACCCATAGTTTAAAGAACACGAACGGAGTATAATTCCTGTTGATTTCAAGGATCACGGAATTGAAGTCCCATGAGCCCTCGTTCCACGATGAATTTAAGCCTGGACTCGAGCTAAGACTGTCCATTAAATCCTTCAAAGGTTTTCCTCCAAGTTCACTCATGGTGTTGTCATCGACGCACGAATCGTACAAATCAAATATCTTCCTGAATGCTTCCTTCTAAATTGAAAACAAATTTGAAAACAAATTTTAACGAATCTCGATACAAAGTATTCTCCTCCACAGCCGTCATCAGGTATCACGGCTGTGATAACGGATTGCTAAACAACAACAACAACAACAACAACAACAAGAAAAACGTTGCAAACGAGCGGAAAAGTAATACAACATAACATTAGCACAACAACACACCACCACAACCAACAACCAACAACAACAACAAGAAAAACGTTGCAAACGAGCGGAAAAGTAATGGAAAAAAGTTATTTACCGTCCTAAAGTTACGCTCGGCGGATAGAAAAAAACTGTGCCCTCGGTTTGGGAGGCGTACATCCACGGCCTCGGGCACAGTTTTTCCCTATCCGGACCTCCTGGCCAGTAATATTCTCTATGCGTTGACAATTTGGGCTTCCGGTGTTTCGAAGTCTCGACTGTCAGTCATCGAGTTAAGCCAAAATAAACCCCTTGCTTTGAATTTTTTCTTTCTTTCTTTCTTTCTTTTTTCTTTTTGCATAAGAAAGACGGCCTATTGTTTTGTCCCCCAGAACATTTCCTCTGGGAAGTCAATGAAAAGGGTCTATAGCGGCAAGCGTTTGGAAGAGTACCTGATAGTAACGACCTCTTGTTTCTTTTCCAACAATCAAATGTTTAATTTTTTCCTGGTTTTGGAAAGCCCTCTGTGAAATTGGGTCCCAAGATGATTTGGATTCATGCGTTGGGTTATTCTGCGACCATTTACCGCACGCGTACTGGTAGAAGTCGTTACAAGGATCAACGGAGTTGTCCACTGAACGAGCCACATCTGATACAAAAAAAAAAACCAGTTAGAATAAAATAATAGAAAAAATCTTAAAGAATGGAAAAAGGGTGGAGCAGAGGAATCTCATTCGCTTCTTAATTAACTCTGCGGTACCAGAAGATATAGAAATATAGATAAGTTATAGTGCTTGGGAACGAGGGTAATCCGGGCGAAAGCCCTTGGAATTAAATTCGGAAAAATTAATTTACGACCTCGCTGGGAATCGAACCCACGACCTTTAATATATTCTCATCTCTGCGGTACCAGTGGAGTTTGATTCTTGTCTTAAGACTAATACTCGATTTCTATCTAAAGCCGACGACACACTTGGAGATTTTATGCTTGTTGGAGCGAATTTTGATCGTCGTCAATCGCCAGCGAATAGACGGCTTGTACTAACAGGTCACGCAACCACCTCCAGAAATGAAAAGAGCACCTCAAATTATATTAAAGGGCGAAGTTTTAGCTGGAAATGTTGACTATAGAAGAAATGGCATTGAATATAAAATCAAACATTTTACAAAAATGTTGGCTGGTAAGCTATTGCCATCAGTGCATCGCTTATTATGAGCTGAAACTCCGCCTCCCTACTAACGCCGAGATGCTCTTTTCATTCCTGTTTTTTATTTTGACAAAACTGCTCGTTTAAAGGGAGTTAGGGTCACGTGACAAGTTAGTGCAAGTCTTCTCCTATCTACGCATCGGTAACGTTAAAGAAACGTCTAGGAGAGTACGCAATTGTTTTTTACGTTACAATTATTTGGCATTTCAACGCTTAATGATTGCTCTTTTAATTTTTGTTTTGTTTGTTTGTTTGTTTGTTTTGTTTTTGTGCCTGTTACTGCATGCTTTGTTTTTAAATTTCATATTTTGTCTACTTTCTACACGCATCTGTTTCAATTGATGGTTCTCACGGCGGCCATGTTGGAGGAACTTAACAAAAGAATTGTCAATTAATTCTTTTGTGATATCCTCCAACATGGCCACCGTGTCTTTTGTTATGTAATTCTCTTGGGAATGTATCAATAATGTAATTTTCTCTTTTTCTCATAATTTCTTCCGTGTTTATATTTCTTGTGTCTTGTTTATTTTTTTAAATTATTCTGCCAACTCGAATAATTCAAATTTATTCCAGGTTTATCTGTTTTGTGCAAGAAGGCAGAAGTAAAAAGGTTAAAAAATCTCTTAATATAAATAAACTACCGCTATTAAAGATAGTAACTTTCCTCCATCAAAACAATAGATTAAAACTCTATCTTCTTTAAGACATGATAATGCCTCCCAATGTTTTAGATAATTGGTGTAAGAAAAAATGGTTGTACCGGTTTTGACCACAAACAACAGTTCTTATAATACACAGCTGGGCATTGACTGAATTATGCTAGAATTTTATCGATCTTTGAATATTATTAATATCATAGTAATAATAAACCTTTATTATTGAAGCCTTATGACAATGGCTGTGATCCAAGACAAAAATACCAGGCGTTTTCTAGCACTGTTGAACTTTATAGATATAAAATTGAGGCAACAAAACCATCAACGATTTTGGATAACATAGTTGTTTGAAAGGTTATAGTCGTTGTGCCGGCGCGCTTCACTGAACAAACAATCAGGGTTATTTATGATAAGATTTTATCGGTAGAAAAGAATTGTCTTCCAGACAAAACAAACCAGAGTGCTTTAGCGAGTGAATTTTTGATAAAAAATCACGCTCCATAATGGCTTATCTTTTCTGGAAAGTTGACCAGATTGCTAACGAAAATATTTAATGTCACGCACAGAGCATTTCTTTCGCTTGTAAATTCTAATCAACGCCGAGGTTGACTTTAGAAAATCATTATCTACGTTGACATGTAAATAAATGTGTACATTGACAAGAAACATGCCTAAGATATTGCACTTCAAGGAAATAAAATTGATATATATGTACATCTAAATCGAATTTACCTGAAACTGCATTGATACAATCCAAAGTAAGACATGGTGAAGGCTGTTTTTGTCTGGCTTTGTGTAGTGCAACTCCAATAACAATGATTCCAATGAGAAGCAATAAGATTATAAATACCAGTACACCTACAACAATAATAGCACATGTTTTTTGCTTTGGCTTTAACCTAGGCTGTTTCTCTGAAGATGAAACCATCACATCATTTCCGACATTATCCTCTTGCTTTGTCAATTCGTACTTTAAGTCCGCCATTTTAATCCTGCAAGACTAGTGAACCCTACAAAAGCAATTTATCTCTGTATCTTTTGGACCCTGCAGTTGTTAACTACTTAACATATCGTACGGAAGGCGAGTCAAATTAATGTTAATCGCAGTCGGAAAAGTTCCCCTGTACGCCGCAATATCTGGCACAGCTGGCGACCACAATACATAAATCAGCTAATACCATTCCTCGGGCTTTAGGAACGAAATCTTGGCCTCAAAACTGGATATGAACTTGTTTGACATAATCCACTCAAATTCAAGTCCTCAAGACTCATTAAGAACCTGGCTTTCAATTTTTCATTGCTGGTGAAGTCCCATATTCTAACTATAATGAATTTTGGTGACCGTCGGGATCATAGTTCAGTTCCGGATGTGACGTCGGCCGTGTCACGCCACGTCAACCCGGTTATTTATCGGTGGAGGCTTCGAGCGGTTAATTAAGGGTTTCAGATACCGTTGTAGCCGCCGGATAGTCCCAAAATTTAAATATGAATTCTTTTGACCCTTAGCTTGATGCCGGCTTGATGCCCTTTTTTACCTCCTCGAATTCATTTTCCTACTCCTTTTTAGCATCCCCCAAGGTTTCGCCATCCTGTCTGCCCTGCCTAACAGCCTCTGGGCTTATCTGAGTCGCTGACCACAACTAACTCAAAGTTCCAACACTTCAGTATAACAGTTGATTAAAGTCATGGCACTTCTTACTTACAGATTGCACCATGAAACAATCTTGGGGCTGATCTAAGTCAAGGCACGACTAACTCACAGGTTGAACCTTGAAACAACCTTAGCATGTTAGGTTTCGTGGAGGGAAGCTAAGAAAAACTGTGCTGAACCAGGATACTAACGACCCTGGATCACCAATCAAATGGATGCTACTCCCCATCTCCGAAGACCTAAATCTCGGTCACATTGATGATTCCCCTACCATCGGTTCCGTTTCTCATCCCCAGTGACCTAAATCCCAAATGCTCCAACGCAAACAAAATGAAACACATTTTCATTCCCAGTTTACTCCTAAATAGCCTTCCCTGACATAGTTGGACACGCTGGCGCTAACGAAATTTTTCATCACAATTAACCTATTTCGGAATTCGGTCTTGTCACTATTTTCCTAAACGGCTGTCGTTTTTATCTGGAAAATACTAGCTTCAGTCGTAATCATATATAGTTGCATGTCCCTAGAAAGTCTGCATTGTCCTGCGGTTCACCATAAAATATAAATTATTTTGTTCAAATCAATAAAGAATGTTTGTAACTGATTGTGGAAGGAAGACAAAGAAAAATAAGAATTAAGGAAAAAGGAAACGAAGTGATAGCATTAACTAGTGAATAGTTATTGTCAATAAAAAAGACAAAATCGCATTGCATGAATCAGCTACACGACAGATGGTGTGAAATCCATGAATAATAGTCTATTAATAAATACCAATATATAGGGCATATATGATTAATTAAAAGCCTGCGGGAAACCAGGAAACCAAATGAAAAAACAGCGGTCAAACTCAGTAATAAAAGATGTTGTAGCTGAGAATTAACGAATTGACATTAGTTTTTTATGTCTGTCCTCTTAGTGATGAATAATGATAATTTGCGTCATCATATTGTCAAAGTAGTGTGGCGTAGCTGAGTGGATTCGCATACTACTTTGACAATGTGATGACGAAATTAATAGTAAAGAAGAAGACAGACACATAAAAAACTGATGTCAATTTGTTTTTTGTTTTTTTTACAATTACAAAAACGATTTCAAAGCATTCAAAGGAAAGAGCGAGCGCTCGTTAACGTCAATTTATCTGTCTGTCCTATTATTGATGATAAAATAACCAATCAGAGCGCGAGAAATTTGTAAGTTACTGTGAAATGGATGGATGGAATGGATGGATGGATGCTTACAATTGACACGACGCCTCTAATCTACAAGCTGTACTATTTAAGAGCCCTTTAACGCTGAAATTAGGGTATTTTCAAGCGGTATATAAAATACTTATCAACCCCAGCCATCTTGTCTCTCTGGGTCAGTCAATCTTTGTGTTTGCCGCTCTTAAAAAAATGAGCTGCCTAATGAACTTCAAGGCACTTTGAAGCCACACTTAACTTACATCATGCGAAAGAACACTCCATCTGCTATACTTTCATTGTAAGATGGCTTCCGCAAAACCTAGAATAATTAGTTCCGCGAGTTAATCGTGTCCTAACTTACATCAGTCCATATGTTGCTTCAGGGTTCTATCTGTGAGTTAGGTTAAATCCGAGCACAGAATTTGTTTCAGTGAGCGTAACCGTAACGTATTGATAAGAATCATCTTTCCTCTATTCTATATATCAAAAAAACATCGCTATTTGTATTCGTAATAGCTGGACGTTTGATAGGCACTTGGCAGAACAAACGACGGCCAACTGATTTATACGACAGATGAGCAAGCCATTTGTAAAGCATTACCAAATAAACCACTCCAATCTTTAGTGTGTAGTGTTTTTGCACAATCTCATAAGCCGGCCTATGATTTTATGCCAAGTTTAATTCAATCTGCCCCAGTGATGGCAGAATTCCAGAAGTTCATTTAAAGTGCTACTACGACGAAAATCGCTCAAACTTGGATTCAGCTGAAACTTCCTAA